TTTTGTCACTCTTAATATTTATGCATAGATCTAAATATGAAACAGATGATGTATCAAGGATCTCATTTAATTCTTTTTCAGGTGTGTAAATCAGTGGAAGTGAATTGCTATTTGAGTGTTATTGAACGATATCAGATCGCTGATATGCCTGAAGCCTAAGTTTATCTTCTTGGTCAAACAAATGAACATTTTGCTTATTTTGCCAATCTGAGCAGTAATGTGTAAAAGATAAGCAAACTTTCACTTTCGATAAACTGCCCTGTCGCTCTGAAGATAGATATGTAACTGAATCTATGGTCACTACCTCTTGTTACAAAAGCCCTATGGATCAAGTTTGAAATAGCTTTTGACATTATCTAACATGAATAATACACTATTCATTAACTAAATTCTCTTACAATAATACAGCATGCACATGTACATGTACCTAATTGAATTATATGTGGATATAACTAACGCTGTGTCCCAAATGAGTAGCTTTGAAAGGTCAAATAGTACAAACAGAGATTCTAATTTATTAAAGAATATTGACCGTCTAGGCTTGTATAGAAAAGAATGTTATAAATGCATATGGTATTGGAAGTATTATGGTTTTGGGACAAGAACTATGTTAAATCTTGCATTTGCAACAAAAATCATACCTGTCAGCATAAACGAGCTTGAATTTATTTCAGTATTAACGAGAAGATATTTCCTTAGGACGCATTAATATTTCTTTTCCAGGAGTAAATGTACTTTTGTGTTTGGGTTGCACCACTTCGTCCACGACCATGCTTATGAAACACCTCCTCATACTTCCTGATTATATACCTACATTCCAATGATAAATAACCACATATATGACACCACGAACTTAAATCCAGTTAATTTTCAGTTCATTCAGATAACTTAAAGCTTGACGTTAGTCGTGTTGACCTCTCACGATATATATGTTGGTGGTGTAAATCAATCCTTGGGATATTTAGCTGTGATCAGTTCGTTCATAGTGTGCCGAATATTTATTCATGATACAGAGCTAGATAAGTTAGTGGAATGTCATTTGGGGTTTCTATCAAAGTGTCCCTTCCAGTAAATGTACTGTTGATTTTTCCTCCAAATGCATTTGCATATCATCATTGATTCAGGTTATTATTTCCAATGTTAAGATGGATCGATACAGTAAACAGTTAAGGCAGATCAGCTTATGTTATGCCGGTATCTTATACAAACATGGTCTATGGATTTACATACATCTGCACAAATACGGTTTCAGACACTACAAGATACGTTTATTACAAGTTCTCATTGTATTCAAAGATAACCATTTTAGAACATGCCTTCAAAGTTATAAACTTTATGATTCACAAACGAAGTGGATAACTGTCGCATCACTGTGAGTAGACAAGGGATCCAGTCAATCACTCACTAATGTGAGCTTAGAATTTAAGACATGACACAAGATATCAAAGTGTCGGGTGCTTCGTTAAATGAATAAATGATAAATCGTTTACGATTTAACATGTTTTCAACATTGCTGATATCTACCGCAAGTTAAAAGAATGTGCTTGTCATTGTCTGGCTTGAACGTTTCTGTGATGTAAATATAAATAATTCACGAAACAAATTTAGATTATTTAGTAATTATAGTACGTATATTCATATTATGTACGTTTATTTTCTATACTTACATATTTTAGTGTACCAAATACACCCACTGGTGCATACATGTATGTATCATTCCATATATCTCTGCCACCCCAAATGATACTTAGTTAACACCAAATACGCACCATGGTAGACTAACCATAATCTTTGATACAATCAAAGAAGGACATTCTTTCAATTCACAGAAAGTATTTGATACAAGTGGAATTAATGCCATAAAACAAGGTAATTTGGCCAAGATGTGTAACTTAAGCTTCAGGTATATTGATGATCTGATATGATTCAATAGCAATGAAATACCCAATTCCAATCAACTGATTTGCCCAGCTGAACTGGAAATAAAGGAGACCAGTGAGACGGCCTCGTCTGTTTCACATTTACATCTATCCATAAAGATTCACAGTGACAATACACTCTCCACAGAACTGTGTGAGACCTTTGAGATACAACCGAGCATGCTCTTTCTACTAAGATTTAAAAGAGCGTCATACAACTATTGCTCACATGTTGTTTGATCAAGGTTACAACATTCAAGGCTTCAGTAAATATTTCAAAAAGTTATATGGTAGATATAAGGAGGACATTTCCAAATCAGTGACAAAATGATGTCCGATGCAATTCCTTATTTTGACTTGTGCCATATGTTCCCGTGTTGTGACTTTTGACCAATTGACTTGCCTCCTTTGCATGTGTTTGTGACGGGTGCCACCATCCATTTAGACAACCAAGTATGGTTTCCTGTGTACAACAACATTTAGTTACTTGGTTGCGATCGGTAGTGTCCTTCCTGGTATGTGACATCCAAATTAAGGGATATTTTCAGGAAGGATCGGGATACGTGATACATGTTTATACCCCTTTTCTACGGTTTAGTAAATTCCAGTAACATAAAATAGGCAATCTTGAAAATATGCTATGTCTACAAAGATGCTAAAGGGCGTCAAAGCAATAACACTTTCAGAAAATATTTTCTTGTGGACATTTTGGAAGACTTTTACAATTATGTCCATTGCACTTCCCTGTTTCGACTTGAGCCATATGTTATTGTGTTTAGCTATATATGCATATGTTGTGGTAAGAAAGCTAAGCTATCAGACAGAATACATCTTCAATACTTGTTTCAAATACTTAATAAACTGAATATTATTGAAAAATAACTGAATCTCCAGATATGTCATAACAAATTAGAAGGAGACTGGTTAACTTTGCTATGGCGATTGTCTATGAACGTCCATTCTAATGTGAGTGTATAGTATTTGCAACATATTCAGTTACACATACCAGGGGTGACTGAAAAGTTCTGAATCTAACTATGATGGTCTGCATTGATTGAAAAGCTAAGCTCTAAGAAAAATGTGTCTTTCATGAAATTGATTATAAAGTGCATGCTCTTTAGTCCCGAAGCAAATGAGTTAAAGAATCACGTGCATTAATCTGCTGAAGATTTTAAAATGATAATAAAGAATTTTATTATAAACGTATTGTAAACTTTACAATCAAATTGTTGATATTTGTCCTACAGATAAACAGCATTTGTAAATTAGGCATGCAGGGCATCACTTCATTTTCATTTACTGTATACTATATTCGATCTGTCTTTAGATTGGAACATCAACCAACGATAATAACAAGATTGTATGCTTTAAATATTCGGCGAGAAAAAAACAACTTTAAAGTTAAGAAGAGCCTAATGAGAAACGTCATATCGCACACCATCAATATATCTAGTTCAGTATACTCAATTAGTATTCACACTACAGGAACGGATCACAGCTAACTTTCCCCAGGATTTATTTACGCGATCAAATTAATATCGTGAGATGTAACTCTGGTGTCAAGGGGTCAAGTGGACATATTCTGTGTGAATAATATGGCAGTTCTCTAAGTCGTCTGAATGAACTGAAATTTACTGAATCGATGTTCGTGATGTAACAGTTATTTATCATTTGAATGAAGGTATATAATCAGGAAGTATCGGCTTGATGTGTAGACAAGCAGCAGCTGCCTAGAATTCCACTGATATTCCTGGGCATCTCAAGTGAGCTTTCGTTTTGAGTGATTTTGTCATTGCCTCTAATGTTACAGCTGCTACTACTTTTGCTGTCACAAGTGATTCTTCTCCCTGTCCGGCCTTGGTGCTTGTTATTATTTATTTTTTTTTATATTTCAGCTTTGACTATAACCATGCTGAAGCAAGTCATCTTCTTTCTCCTCGTCAACGTTACAGTACTGATGGCGTTCCAGACGTTTCAGAGGAGATTCAGTGGAAGTCCAAATGGCCTGTCTCATCAGTTTAACCTTTTCAGTCGTTACAATCAGCGCAACGTTTACAACTCACAACAAAGGTCATACGGAAGAGGTTTCCTCAACCACTACAACCCTTTCAACCCCTACTCTACATTCATGTACAACGCTCTAGACATTGATCACCCCTTCGACTTCTACAGTAGCTGGTAAGCATATCCACACATTCAACATTAGTAATAATCGTCACATACAGCGGAATAGCCACAACCCGCTCTTCATCAAGAGCACATTATTTAACTGGAATTGAAAGAAGAAAGGTGTTCTTTTCGCTCATGTGTGACACGTATGTTATGGTATAACTATTTTGAATTTGTATTCTAGTTTTTGATAATGATAATATATTTTTCTGTTTCAGATAATCGTCTACATTTGTCGAAGCTCTTCTCTGACCGACATAATGACTCAAACATAAATACCCATTTTCTGTACCTGTTGAGTCAAACGCATTTGACGTGGAAATAAATGTTGAAAGCAATTAATGCTCTCTTGTACTTGTATTATCTTTCACTTATTTCTTGAATATTGGTGATATCTCCCCGGGGCATATTATGTCCACAGCTTCCTATTCTTGTCGCAGAATCTGTGACCTTGCAGATTGTGTCATGTACTGATTACAGTAAGGGACATTCTCGCCGTCTCAGTGCATGGAATATGGAAAAGGAAGTAGACAAAAGCAGCAAGTGTATGGAAGTGTGTGGATACCTGTGCTAGCCCGCTGACATTTCATGCCACATGGATACCCCATTCAGACTCAGTATACAGTATACACAGTATACAGACTGCGAGCCGGCGAGTCCTTATTTTAGCCAAGCAGGAAACCAGAAAGTACCATGTTTTTAATGTCTGTTGGTACGACGTGACTTGGGGCTGGAACCACCGACCTAATGTTCTCCACGCTGACGCCTTTTAAGCAAAGTGTCCAGGTAGATTCATACAAATGTGACCATATAACAGTTATGCCACGTTTCATAAACAAGGGAATTTCGTAATGCACGGTTTCACTTGTAAGAAACTGACAAATGATATATACATAGATATATATGTCAAAATATTTTATTCAGTCATTGACAAGTGGTATGTTCATTTGTTCCCAGTCGTTTCATCTGTAATTCATCTGAAAAAAACAAAACATCATTTGTGAAAATTAAATAGAATTGATATGTAGTCATTTGGGACACGTATGTGATTAAACTACCACTGATTGAAATGAATTATTTAAAGGTAAGGTTTATAAAATAAATCAGACCTTTAAGTCTCAGTCCCAAGAGGTAAAATGAGGTCTGCTGAGGGCTACTTATGAAATGGTAAGAACTAAGGCGGCTTTAAACAGTATTTCAGTTATATTACGACTAGTCAGCTTTATGTTGACGATTACCACTTTGGAAACACATGTGTCCTTAAGAGGTGAAAGGTAGACTAGAAAAGTCCACGAAATATATAAAGTGATACGTTGCTCCCCATAGGCCTTACATATGAGTTTCCAAAGGGGTAGATGAACAATTGGAAAAGATGTCTTCTCGTCTTACCTCAGAACAGGTTGTCAAATGTGTTATATCTGTTGTATCTCCCGAAAAAGTTGTTGTAGCCCCGCCCAGTATTGCGATAGCCCCATCCTATTCCATACATGTACATGGAGTTGTAGTCGTCGTCCATGTAGTCAGGTGTATCCATGTCACTCATGTAGTTATATTGAGCAAAGTTCCTCCAGTACTTGGGCAATCTGTACCCGCTAGAGGCGGCAACAGCTACGACAAGGATGAGGAAGACGTGTTGCATGTGCATGGTCGTGGACGAAGTGCTGCAAACACAAAAATACAGTTAATTATGAAAGGGTAAACGTTCACACCCGGTAGTGGCATTAACAGCAATGGAGCTTCGTTAGGCCTGAGTTATTGTACATATCAAAAATAGATATCACGGTTTTACTCCTTTAAGCGGTGTAGCCCATGGGTGATTGAGGGAATGAGTAGGTTCGGTTTAACGACGTTTTGAACCCTGTCAGTGTTCCTGTTATATCGCGACATGTCAGCTTAGTGTGGGAGGAAAGTGAAACCCACCAGCACAGGTATGGTGCTGACAAACCTAATCGGGGCGAACCGGGATTCGAACCCACGTTCATAGGTGTCTGCGGTAACAAGGGACGCAATTGCTGCTCATTAGACGACTGGGCTACCGATTACGGGTTAGAATTAGTACTCAGTAACCCATGCTTGTCGTAAGAGGCGACTAAATGGATCGGATGGTCAGGATTGCTTATTTAGTTGATTTCGTATCATAATCGTACCCGACGACGTGGGACGAAGCTCTTAATATCAACCTCTGGTTATCTGATTATTTACAGACCGTCGTCATGTATCACTGAACAAATCGGCGTAATTACTCATTCGGTGGATATCGATAATAGCTTGGTTATACTAGAGTGAGTGAGTGAGATTGGTTTTACGCCGCTTTTAGCAATATTCCAGCAATATCACGGCGGGGGACACCAGAAATCGGCTTCACGCATAGTACCCATGTCCGGATTCGAACCCGGGTCTTCGGCGTGACGAGCGAACGCTTTAACCACTAGGCTACCCGACCGCCCCTGGTTATACTAGAGACATTCTTATTAGAATACACTCTGTATACATCATGAGTAAGGTGTTTTGTTCATCGCAGCTTGGAACAGTGCTTCTGTTAAATCACTGCGTGTCACCTTGATATGGGTGGATAGCCCGAAATAGTTCATCTTTGGTGAAAACAGCGGATATTGTGCTGATATACCAAGAGACGTATTCGTAATTACGGCGAATCTGGGATTCGAAATCATTTTTCTTGCAACGCAACTATGCACAGTGATCTACAGTACCTTAGACGACTGGTCTCCCTTGCCCCCATACACATAATGTTAAACATACAGAACATTTATGCGCTAGAATATGTAGATTGCTGATAACTACCTTCACCTCACAGAGCTCAAGCTGGATCCTGGTCTGATGTTTTTTTCAGAGTGATAGGGAAGTATAAAGACGCGTGCATATATATCGCCGAACTGTAATGTTAAACTGTACATGGTCACGTCATCACAGCCTGTCACTTATTAATCTTCCCAGTTCTACAAAACATGTCATTGTGAGGAGGACATACAAGGTGTTGAGTAAGATACCTTTTGTTAATCATCTTCACGTGTCAGCATGTCCATCTGCCAATACGTTCCTTGTACTGTGTCGTGAAACACTCTTGAAGTCAAGATGAACATACAAGATGAATATGCAATGTTTGTGCAATCCTTTTTGAGTAATAAGCATGAGTAAGCTGACACTTTAATCCTTCATTTATTATATATGTATACAAATGTGAATATGTGCGAGGCAATATATGATCATGACACCTCATTCGGATGAAGTAAACATCACATATTATACACGTTTGCTTAAAATTAAGTTAACTAATAGGAAGACGTACATATCCAAAGGTACGTTCGTGACGTATTCCACATACCCCACTGTGGGAATCGGGTTGTCACAATGTCCTGACATAATCCAGAGTCGACCATAATGTAACACGCGACACGATATCGACCAAATATACAGAGACTCAGTTTAACCTCATTCACATACATATAGATTATTCAATTATTGTCTTTTTTATCAGCCACTACGTTTGTATTGTTTGCATTGTACAAAGAAGGATTTCGTCTGACATCTCGCAGATTTAGACTCAGAAAGTGCTCATTCGAATTAGGAACGAGAATAATTGATTGTTATGAATATATATATAATGCACTTAAAGGTTATGCATATACACTGTAATTGCATTCACTTTAAAGTCATATCCGACCTTCGACCTTCGCAAGCGAGTTGAATGGTCAAGGTCCATTGGAACGAAATGTAGAACGGGTGTATAAGTTTTTGAATTTGGCAAAATACACGTATATGATTATAAAACGAATTTCATTATAATTTCTTTTATTCAAAATGTCTTCGAAAATTATATTATGCTTCAGACATAGAGCTGACTTGATGGGAGATTAGCCAAATGAGATTGTTCATGTGGACACACAGTCGCACCGACTACATCATACATGTAGGCCTTTTTGTTCAAGCAGGGATATACATGAAATGATAAGTAACAGTTCTCTGTGTACTAATTACATGTTTCGATATTATCAGTTCTGCGTTCTGAGTTGCAGTAATGTAAGTGTCTGCTACAGTTAGCAATACACGTATATAATAAAATATTCAATTAACTCACTTCTGGAATGTGTGGTACCAATCATTCGATCGTAAATTGTATGACTAGACGAATCAAATATTCATACACGATAAACAAACCTCCATATTTTAGTAACAGTGCTATTACATGACAATTGGAAATTCTAATTAGCAGATGATTTAGAGAAAGTTACTTCATGTTCATAATCCCAATAAATCAAAGCTGTCAATAATCTGCCAATCATATCAATAGGAGACAACGAATTTTACTAATCAAGTGGTATTCAATAGTATTTCAACTGTAATTTGACATAACTTTCAAACTATTTCAAGCGAGAACCAGGTAGTCACTTTGACGTAATATGTATAAAAGACCATTTCGCAAAACTTAATCGAATGCTTCACTTACATGTATGTTAAATACAGCTCTGACTTCTTTACCATCATCCATTGCCTAAGCAATGAAATTATGGAAATGAGTCAGTCGATACACAATAGAACTACCACCTGTAAATCCCGATTGCAAAGAAGTAATTATTATAAGAAAAGTATTGACATATGTTTAAATAACATTTCTAAAATACTTAAACCTTAATGTTCTTGTCAGTGACTGATTTCAACTACAAAAATTGGTGTTCCAAATTCTCGTGTGTCATTAATGTTTCTCCTTCCTAATCTAACATTGTAAACACTTTAATGTTTCTCCTTCCTAATCTAACATTATAAACACTTTAATGTTTCTCCTTCCTTATCTAACGTTATAAACACTTTAATGTTTCTCCTTCCTAATCTAACGTTATAAACACGTTAATGTTTATCCTTCCTTATCTAACGTTATAAACACTTTAATGTTTATCCTTCCTAATCTAACGTTATAAACACGTTAATGTTTATCCTTCCTTATCTAACGTTATAAACACTTTAATGTTTATCCTTCCTAATCTAACGTTATAAACACTTTAATGTTTATCCTTCCTAATCTAACGTTATAAACACTTTAATGTTTCTCCTTCCTAATCTAACATTATAAACACTTTAATGTTTCTCCTTCCTTATCTAACGTTATAAACACTTTAATGTTTATCCTTCCTTATCTAACGTTATAAACACTTTAATGTTTCTCCTTCCTAATCTAACGTTATAAACACGTTAATGTTTCTCCTTCCTAATCTAACGTTATAAACACTTTAATGTTTATCCTTCCTAATCTAACGTTATAAACACGTTAATGTTTCTCCTTCTCCGATGATACACATCAGGATCGCGGAGAAACAACAAGCATCCTTCTTTCGTTGTATACTAGTATCAAGGCACCAATTCATCTTTCATGTTTTTCTTTTTTGTGTATTTGTGCCTAATATATCCACAATTAACGAAAATATGTATTACATGTATCTACAAAAATAAATAGACAGGCTAGGTATTTGCCCATAGAAATACATGAATAACTGTTTATTCATGCATGGTTGGGCAGATTGCAATTGAACGTTATGATAACGAGAGCAGGTATTGTTGACTCACCTGTAAATTAGGCCGACTCTGATATTAGATACAACTTTCTCTTGACATTATGTATTCAAGAGTAAACTGAACAAATTATAAGTAGAGATTTTACTGAAGGTATCAGTCAATCTGCATACAAAGAGAAACAGTTACAATGAATTGCGATTACTAACATCATGTACGTCTATTCATGAACATATTAAAAAATCGTTAACAAAATTAAAAACCTATATACAATATCGACTCTTAATGATCTCACTTAATGGACGTGTTTCTATATGTTCTAATAACAACAGGGCATATACAGATAAGACGTTATATAAAGTACAAGTGAAAACATAGGAATTATCATGAGAAGGTTTTTTTTGTGACTGTTCCCGATTCCAAACCAAAAGTGTCATTGCATTTAGAAGCTGCATTCTTGCCCCAATATTCATTCAAGCTATCGACAATCGGCGAAATATCATATCACCCATTTTCGACCATCACCGCACCCAAACATTGCCTATGTACATGGTATATACCTTCAATGTAAGGTTCTGCATTGGACAACTCAAAACCAGTGTACATATTATTGGAGTTTGTAATTACCTGTGTCTGTGGCACGGTTACATTTGACTGCTTCTCCAGCACAATGGACTTAGATGGAAATCAAATGTTCATAAAAGAAAGATGATGATAACTGAATCACAAAACAAGTTCAAAGGCTCATCCTAACTCGGGATATAACTGAGGGGATTGCGAAAGTTTAGGTTTGTCACTGCAGTGTCATAACTACATGTATATCTTGTGTACACAATACGTAAATACCAAACGTCAGAACAATCCAACCTGGTTATTTTTATAATTATCATAAACCAACCATACTTTCACACCCTTTTAATTTTAATCATACTTAATTAATGACACTAATTATGGACAGCAACATCTTTTATTCCTTGTCACGACGTATCAGAGCTACTTCTTGCTCTTTCACTAGGCGGTCTCACTGGTTTCCTTTATTTCTAGTTCAGCTGGGTAAATCAGTGGAAGGGAATTGGATATTTGATTGTTATTGAACGATATCAAATCATCGATATACCTGAAGCTTAAGTTAAACTTCCTGGCCAAATTACCTGGTTTTGACTTTGCCAATCCGAAGAAATTCTGATTCATATCCATAAAGAAACAGATCCGCTAGAAGGGGAGCACAATTGGTGCCCATGGGGATGCCTACCTTGCCTAAATGTCTTACCCCCAAATTCTATATAGATGTTATCAATGAGGAAGTCCAGCGTAAGATGGCATTTGCTTTCAAGGCATAATGCACTTCATATTGTTATCGACGTTAACTGTATGGCCACACGAATTAGGACGTCCGTCTATAGATGTATTTTGTTTATGTACTAATGTTTGCATGTATTCATCACACATTACAAGTAACTGTAATTTCTTACCAGTGTCGCATCAAAGTATTTATTGTACATGTATGGAGACTACTGCAATGGCCCGCCACGCGTTGAAGGGATGATAGTACCATAAAACTCCTAAAGTGCCATAAAATAAAATAAATAGTTTTCGAAGAAATCCACGGATATCCGCGGATTATTCGCGAATTGTTGGCAAAGTTTTCGTTAATTATTTGCAACTTATCCGCGGGATATTCGCGGATTATTCGCATATTTACTGGCATACCCAAGAGACGCAACTCTGCACAGCGAATCGCGGCACCTTAGACGACTAAGAAATGTTTATGCTTCTGTATTCATGTTTTCATGTAAAACGAAAAAGTGCAGTTTACACATTGTAAGAACCACACATTGAATCAGTCTTACATAACTTGCTTGAGACTTATTTTCCAAGTGGCAGATCAAAATGTATGTTCCTGGTCTCTCTGGCGCCAAACAAGTTTTAGATTTGATTAGGCGATCAGGTAGCCTCGTGGTTAAAACATTCCCTCGTCACGCCGAAGACCCGGGTTCGATTCCCGACATGGGTACAATGTGTGAAACCCATTTCTGGTGTTCCCCGCCGTGATATTGCAGGAATATTGCTAAAAGCGGCGTAAAACGCATTCACTCACTCACTTTTAGATTTTATGAAAATATTATCTTTGATATCGGACTAGTTCTCATGAACATCAGTCTTTTTTACAACTCGGTATTTGTTAAATATTTATTAAAAGAATGTTTTTCCAAACTATCACTAATTTTCCTTAATTAGACCAGTGGTCCAAGAGATTATTTGGATATATACAACGTGAACATAAGTCATTCAAAATGGGCGACGTGTGAACAAAGTGACAACTTATTTACGATGTTCTAAAACTGATGTGTTCCCTGAGGCAGTATTGAGACATGCTAATCCGACGTCTTGTAGTCCTGTCACCATCAATAACAATGTAACGATTACATAATGCAGACACTTTCAGTGTGACGTAAACGACAGCGGGACGAAAGTCACGGTTATAAAGGCGAGATCAGCCAAGGTTAATCATTGTGTCATCTGCTTTTGATCTTCTTCACACCATCCTCATCCTAACAAAGTGAGTATGTTTATCATCTTAACGAGAGGTAACAGTCAATGCTAAGTTATGTTAAAATGAAGTGTTTCTTCTTTACAATATATAGTATCAGTGAAATATGTATCTTATTTTTTATATTCATCATATTGTTACTGTCCTGTAACATGTTGCAAATATCAAACTGTAATAATTTAACATTACCGCTGTTATATCTTGGCAAATCGCCATTCGGATGCATTTTTTAGTCTCGTCAGTGTATTATGGTGTGAGTGAGTGAGTATAGTTTAATGCCACTTTTAGCAATATCCCAGCAATATCACGACGGGGGACACCAGAAATATACTTCACATATTGTACTGAATTATGGGGTCATTTAGATTTCTTGAAATACATTTTAACATGACGTCATGAACACATGCATTATTGACCTCACGACTGAGGCCAACCGATTCCCTTTTTGATCAGTTATTATGACAAGCAAAAGGTCCCATACGCAAGTACTTACGGCAAATACAGGCAAAATATCGCTCACTGTTGTAACATCTGAACACGTTTCATGGAATCATATGTGTCATTGCAGACTCTAGTTCCATCACGATGCTGCTGAAACACGTCTTCGTCCTCCTTGTCGTCACTGTCGCCGTCACTAGCGCCTACAGACTGTCCAACTACAATAATAGGTTTGGTCTTTATGGGTACGGCTACGACATTGACACTCCTGACTTCCCCGACTTCGACTTCCCTTTGTACATGTATGGACGTCATGCACGACGTGGTGGACAACGATCGCAAAGCAGATACAACAGTTGGGCGCAACTTACAAGAATGGAAGCTTACGACCTGATTTAAAGGTAAAAGAATATACATATTGATCGGGACAAATTTGAACAAGAAATTCTATCATGTGACATCGTGAAAAGCCAGGTTACTTACTGTTTGAATAATTTAGCATGCATTAATTCCACATGTGATACATATGTGTTGTGATGATCGCATGTACGTTGTATTAGAATATTCATTTAATGTGATCGCCATATTTATTAGAGGTATATTAAGCATGACATGAGCATAGAGCATAATATATGGATTATTTTAATCGATTGTATCTACGTTTGTACTTTGAAACTTTAATTTGAGTGTCTGAGAATACTATTATGGAATTCTAAATCATACTCTTTTACTTATTTTATTAAAATAAAACTTATTCAACTATTCAATCAAGAATAGTTTTGTTTACATCTGTCCATTTAAGAAACAGAATCCATGTTTTGTTTGATGCAATAAGCTTAATGTATGAAACATTTATGCTATTAGCTGACATGTGTTTCATTGTTGCAGGAGTGGTAACATCATTCGTGTACGACTGGCTTTTTCCATCCATCGACCTGAAGATATCGGCCGGAATATAATTTATTGACATGCATATGTAGTATTTATTTAGGAAATAAAATGGTAAACATTTGTTTGTGAGTATGTCATTGTTTGTTATGGAGACCCAATTCAGAATCACTGTGCTAATCCTACTTCGGGACAATTACGACAAAAATATTAGCGTCGACATTGCCAAGAAGTGAGTGAGTGAATTGAGTTTACGATTGTGTGTCAGGTATCAAAACAAGGCCCAGCGTGATGCAGGTCGTAGAAATGAACTTTGATAAAATGCTGACAAACCAAGGATAACAGTCTAAATAAATATGGGAGTCCTGTTGGTTCCTGGCACGACTAGGGTACACAAATCTGCAGTGCGACTGGCGGCGCCTTGGGTAGTGGTGGATAATTGTAGCATGCACACTGTCGTCTACTATTGAAGACCGCCTCCGTGGTCTAGTGGTAGAATGTCCGTAGAAAAGCGTCATTACAAAAGACGTTAAAATGTGGTACTTGTTCGGCATTAAGGGGCTAAAGGACTGGTCGGCTCGGAGTCAGTATTATGTGTCTGAGTGGGGTATTCATGTTCAACTGCGGCATGGTATCTCAGAATACCACTGCCTCCGTGGTCTAGTGGTAGAGCGTCCGCCCGGAAAAGCGAAAGTTTCGAGGTTCGATCCCCGGCCGCGTCATACTAAAAGACGTTAAAAGATGGTACTTATTATTACCCTGACTGGCGCTCAGCATTAAGGGGCTAAAACAAGGACTGGTCGGCTCGGAGTCAGTAGTCTGTGTCTGAGTGGGGTATTCTCTACGGTATGGTATCTTGGTTTCTCAGTGGGCTAGCACTATAAATCGGCATCAGTCCGGACTAGTACAAGCACCCACACACACGAGCATGAAACCCAGATGTAACCCAGAAATCTCGATATCAAATTGATTCATACACATATTTTCACACATGATGAATGGAAAGCATCATTCACCTAAGTGAGTTGGGAAGATTGGCTGATCATGTATAACCTGGATATCATTTAGTAAATAAGATAATTATACTATAGTCCCAGACCATTATGCGGGGGGCACAACAAATAGGCTTCACACATTGGACCCATTTCGGGAATCGAACCCGGGTCTTCGGCTTGACACCCAGACCGTTATGGAATTTAACCAAGTTTATACCGTGTGACATTGTTAACAGTTACATCGCCGAAGGCTAACAAATTGTGACAATCACATCGCGACTTACTGCTAATACACCTCGTTGTTTCAGGGCAGGATTGCGTAATGAGAACATGGTCTAGTGTGTGTTGTTGTGTGGATTGTTACTAATGCTATTAATTACTGGTCAGTGTGACCCATATTTGCTATGATACAGATGCTTAAAACAATATTCATTTAGTAACACGTTTGTGCAGGACATGCCCGTTCATTCCGAGATCGTGTTTAAAAACCAAGGTATGGTGGCATCCAGCGCGAATTCTGAGCAGGAGAGTGCCCAATTACAATGTACATACTCGTTAATCCGACATAACTGTCTGCATCGAACCATGTGGGATTAACGGGACTTGACGATCATCTGCCATAATAAGAATGTTTGTGATGACCGGGAAGGCGAACGTAATTTCTAACTCTGAGGGATTGATTTTCGCCTTCCCGGCCCATAACCACTACGTCTATATGCAGTGGCTAACAGAGGGTGACGGTGGGTGCACTGGCTCCATTAATGTTGTCAAGGTATAGTACGCGATGTACAATAACATTCAATAAGTAATTAATTTGTTTAACCGGGATGTTGCATTTTGAAGGAGCTTTTGAATTAACTTTTTGTTTCTGCTTTAGGAAATATATTAAAGCCATAATTCAAGCCAAATATATGTGATATATATTGTACTTGTGTATTTGAATACACAATTTCATTTAGAAAGTGGTCAAATGTAACAAATGTTATATTTGGGATAAAACTTTCTTAGTTAAGTACAGATTCACGCACTTTTTTAGGTTGAGTCCCGTCCGGGATTTGAACCCACACTTGCCAGAGTGAGGCACATGCAGCTTATCACTTTGTGTGCTGGCGATTAGGTGCCTCACTCTGGCAAGTGTGGGTTCAAATCCCGGACGGGACTCAACCTAAAAACGTACGAGAATCTGTACTTTACTAAGAAAGTGTTATCCCAAATATAACATTTGTTATACTTGTGTATTGCTGAAAAGAATGGGGCGCATGGTAATACCAATCAGTCTCATGCGGAACCGCTGTTTAGAAGAACAAATATGGAGCGTCTAAGATTAGCCTTTGAATCGTATTTAATAGATGATATCCCGCGAAGACATGATTTTTTTATTTTGGTAAAAGACGTTTCATAGCTCCTCCTTGTCCGCTCTTTGGGTGAATGACCGAAGTACATGTACATGGTGATTGATATACAAGCTGATGATTATACAGTCTTCAATGACAATCACATTCCAGAAAACACGGACTGTATGATGAATATGGACCAATCAAGTTTCTCTATATCTAAAAGAAACATAAATGTCGTTTTGATATGATATACATTTGATACATCATCACTTTGGAGGGTATTTGATGTGTGATAGCATTTACCTTGATTGCCACTATGTTCGGACGACAAAGAATATTTACTTTGGAAATGAATGAATGAATTTACCATGATCGCCATTTTTGGACTACTAAGAATGTTTACGTTGGAAATGAAGGGAGGAAGGAGGGCAGGAAGAAAGGAAAGAAGGAAAGAACGAACGAACGAACGAACGAACGAACGAACGAAGAGGGCAGTGTTCCGATGTATTTGTGTGATTGACACTTGTGGTACGCCTTACAATCTTATCACTTGATTTATTGCAATTGTGATGCAACGACAAGACCGATGGTGACCAAAAGCAACGGGGAATCGACAACGGAAATGATACGATATCTAAATACAACACTAACTACACGGGAGATATTTTTGGCAATTCCTGATATTTCATGTGAAGATACTGAAACATCGAAAAAGTGAAGGGGGACAACTCTTGGTGTCTTAAAGGATAAGTACCACGCGACACGCAAATCACCGTGGCAATATATGCGCGCTTCTCTTAGTTTCATTGTTTCGAGAGAATATTATTGTAACTGGGAGTTAATAAATGTGCCTTCAAATGGTATGTTGTACTTATCCTCATACTTGCGAAGAGAAGCGTAGGTCATAATAATTAGTTCCACACAGTCTACGGTTCACAATTAGCGTTAAATTTAAACTGGATTCTCTGCGATACACCTTTAATGGGGGTAGCAGCGGTAATGGACGTAAATCTGGAATAAATTTACATTTTTAGAGGATATTTTTATTTACTTGTTTACGTTTATATTTTAAACAGTCCCTTAAAGATAAACATGATTTGATTTCATTTTGACCACTTATTACATGAATTTGTAAATCTACCGTATGGCTTCGCACACAGTGTGGTAAAACTAACAGTGAGTGAGTGAGTTAGGGTTTACGTCGCTTTTAGCAATATTACATCTCGGGGACCAGAAATGGGCTTACACATATTGTGGCCTTCGGCATAGCGAGCCAACGCGTTAACCACAAAGCCACCACTCCGCCCCAACAACCAACAGAATATAGTACACCCTCGTACTGTCATGGCATGGATAGTCAGGTGTTGGTTGGTGTAGTCGCACGGTTTAGTCGCAGTAGTCGCATGTAGTAAGTGAGAGTGAATGGTGTGTAATGCCGTAGTCAGCAATATTCAAGCTATATCAGTCCGTAAATATTCCGGACCAGAATAAAACAACCTGTCCGAGTACGATGACAAGCAATGAACCCAGCCACGGAGGCTGACCACTCTATCCCCTTAGGTCAAGAATGTATGGAGGTTGTTAGGAACTAAGCTAACCCGTAAAGCAGCTTGGGTGATGATGATGATGATGTTGATGTTGATGTTGATGATGATGATGATGATGATGATGATGATGATGATGATGATGATGCTAGGTGTGGTGCTGCTGCTGATGATGATAGTGGCGGTTATGATGATGATAATGATGATTATGATAGGTGTGGTGGTGGTGCTGCTGCTGCTGCTGCTGCTGATGATGATGATAGTGGCGGTTATGATGATGATGATGATGATGATGATTATGATAGGTGTGGTGGTAGTGCTGCTGCTGCTGATGATGATGATAGTGGCGGTTATGATGATGATAATGATTATGATGGGTGTGGTGGTGGTGGTGCTGCTGCTGCTGATGATGATAGTGGTGGTGGTGATGAAGATGATGACGACAGCGACGCATCAATATGATCAGTGTCGTTTATAGATCCATGTGATCCTGCAAATGAGTGACGGAAACTATGATTTTTCACAACAAGTCAGAGAGCTTCACGGTACAGACATTGTTATTATGACGATCCTTCGTAGTCGGCTGGACAAGATGAGCTGAATGTGTGCCATGGTTCCTCAGGGACGCTGCACCGACCCTGCTCGCCCCGTCACTAATTAATATTGGGACAGATATGAGTAGACGCCGACACACGTGACAGATGGTCAGGTTTATGTGTCTGTCGAGAATACTGATATCCAGGGAAACTTTTGATGTACGAAATAAAGTAATTACTACATGGTTTTGTGTCACACATGTAAGATTAATTACATGTAGACTGGAACGGATGGGTTGCAATCGCGAAGTTGATAATACGTATTGGCAGAAAGGCAGTACACATTTTACAGCGTCGTGTTGCTCTGCACAGACTACTCGAGGGGACCCAAATTTGATTTTAGCGAATGTGGTGAAAGTTCTCTCCTACTCAAAGGCACGATATGATGGGGTGGTGATTGGTGGATGGGTCATCTAAGGCGCCACAGCTCGCTGTGCAGAGTTGGGTCCCCTTAGCGTGACATGATCCTATGCTCATGGGTTCGAATCCAAGAATCTCCCTGATTATGATCCTTGGATTGTCAGCATCATATCTGTGCTCATGGCTTTCACCAAAAGTTGACCTCCGTCTTTTCGGATTTTCTCCCGCATCAAGCTGACATCTGTGATATAACTGATGTAATGCTGCCCAAAGCGGCTACAAACATGTTCCT